GACAAACAACATGAAGCACTCAGCTCCATCTCTCATCAACTACTCAGCCTGACCCGCTGACAACAACACCTCATCCTCTAACTGAGGAAATACCAACTCTCTTCGAGCACAATCTATAAGGATGTGATAGGCAGATAACCAATCCATCCCTAAGATTATGTCAACATCTACCATGAACAACACAATCAGGTTCACTCAGAACCTCCTACCAAACACCTCTATCGGGCATCTCACGTATATCTCCGACGTCACCAAAGAAATTGAAGTCATAATAGATACATACAAATCAACGTGCCATGCAGACACCGACAACCCAATCTCTCCACACAATCAACAGAAATGAAAGAATGCGTGGCACCAGAATCGAACAAAAATAAAACATCCTCACCTGCTGCTTTCCCCTTCCTCTTCACCAAATCTGATGAAGTGGAAGTCTCTACACTTGACAATGCAAGCACTCTGCCCACAGCTGTAGGCCTGGGTGGCCCCGGGACACTCCCAGATAAAGTCGGCGGTGTCTGACAATCTCTAGAGATGTGGCCTGGCCTACCACATCTGAAGCAAACATTCCTTGGATGGGACAATCTCTAACCATGTGGGCTTCTCCACATCTGTAACACTGCACCGACTGTGCTCCACCTTGAGGAGTAGCAGGACGAGGCCCTCTACTAACAGCTTCTCTCTGAGACTAAACAGGCTTGTCATAGGGTCCTCTCTGCTGACCTCCCTTCCTAGATCCAGATGATCACTCGTAAACTCTAGCAGCCTTGCCGCTGCTACCACCCACCAATCTCTCAACAGTCTTTACCTTCTCAACTAAGGCAGGAAAACTCCACTATAGACATAGGGACTATGACCTTCTTCAGCTCATGCCTCAACCCCACTGTAACTTCCTACATCTCCAAGCCTCAGATACGGCCTGAGAGTGGAAACAAGCCACACACCTATGTTCTCTATCATCTACCTGGTGTCTCTCCACCAGTACACAATCTCGCTGCCAGCATGTATACTGCATAGGCCAACTTCCTCTCCTCAGAAAATCTCAAAACACTGAAGATCTTCTCATCTCACACAACCACAAATCTGTCACATCGGGATCTGAGTCCCCCTTTGAACTGAAGAGGCTAACATCTCCTGAACTCTGGTAAACCTCTCTCATCCTGAGAGACCACCGGTCTAGCTGCCTCAACCGCAGCTCTACCCGCCTCCATCTAAGCAAAATGAGCACTTTACTACCGCATCACCATGGCCATCATCTCCATAGCCCTTCATAGCCCTAGTGATCTGATCAACTGAGGCCTCACCATACTAAAAGAATTCAAACATTCTTTTACCAACACTTTACCGCTACAACTCATTAACACATATCAGAGATATGACACAACAGAAACCTAGAAAGATCACTCCCCACAGAGTATCCCAAAAGACTCGACCGGCTCTGATACCATAAAAGTGTAACGACCCGCCATGGTCTCTACACTTAGTGGAATCGCACTACTGCTAGTGAACTAAGAGAAATATTAAGCTGGATAACTCATACATACATGTACAAATAAAAATAAATTATCTAAATTTTTGGTTATAAAATAAAACTCCATATATGTACAGTCATCCCAAAAATAATATTCCCTAGTGCCGGTCAAGTACAGACAAAACCGTTACCCAAAATGATAACTCCAACACGAGGATCAAAACTCCCCGTCTCGCAGTGGACACCTCAACTCCAAGCTAGCCCTGACCTGCTCCCATACCAAGTATGATCGTCGCAGTTCCACGCTATTGGATAAATCGTCAATGATATGATGGAGCTAAAAGCTGTCATTATATTTTAGGATTTGGGGATGTAAGTGTATTCGTAGGCCTCCCAACCTATCTAGTTAATATATATTAGTAATGAAAAAGAAACTCTGTATCTTTGTGAAAAAATAATTTTTTTAAATAAATTTTAGTTATTATTTTTAGAAAAGTAATTTTTATTTTGCATATATATTATTTTCTATTTTATCCTTATATATATATTGGTGAAAAAAATAGAATATATATAAGAGTTTAATTATCTTTAAAAAGTGAACATGAAAAAGAGATATTTATTTTATATATTATTAGTGGGATCGTAGTACTCTGCGCCTTTATATTTATTTAAATATATTTAAGAATTATTAATATTTATTGAATTAATTAATATTATGTCTAATCTTCATCTTATATTTTATTAATTTTTAATATTATTTAAAAATTTAAGGATAAATTAATTTAAAAATTTGTGTAAATGAAAATAGAATATTCTTCTTATAATAAATATAGATTATATTATATTAATTATATATATATAATTTATTATTGAGATAATAGTACTTCTTTAAAAATTATTGGAGTATTCTATATTTTTCTTTTTAGCTATCTTTTCATTTTATATTTCGTCAAAATTATTTTATTTACATAGTTATTTTAAAAGTTATACATAATTATATTTTCAGTTAAATGAATTTATTAGTATTTTCTTTATATCGATTCGATAAATAAAGAATATTTATTAACATTTATGAATGATGCATGCTCTATAAAATAGGATCAACAACTTGAATATCGAGACACATAAACAAAAAAAAAAAAAAAAAACACTGTTCCATCCATATTTTTTTATTTTCTTTTTCATTTTGTATTTTTTTTTTATCATTATGTGTGAGACTCTTACCATTGAGTGCAAAAATCCAAACACGTTGTTGTATAAATTGAGATTTTTTCTTCTTAATACCATTGTAAAATATAATTTAGTATGTAACGTAATTTATTCTGATTAACTTTCTGTAAAAAAATAAATACAGTTAACTTATATATATATATATCATTTTTTTTATTGTAAATTTATAAAGGTGTTTGAACACAAAAAATATCAACTAAGTTGGTGTTTCTTTGGGTCTAAAGCCCTTTTTAAAAGGTTTCGAACAATACAAACAAAGACATAGTCATTAACACGAAACCTTTTACTGCATATCATAAGTCACCTAACGACCTTGTTAACATCAAGAATATTCATGTAGAAAAGAAAATTTTAAATCCACTTCTCCACCTCTAATTGCCCTCTTAGTTACCAAAGTTGTTACATAGCCTCTGTCCTGTGTTGCTTGCTTGTGTATTTTACCTTAAAAAAAATAAATTCTCATTTTTCAACACAACACACATTTTATTAATATAAATTAATAATAAAAAATAATCTAAACCCAATTTTATTTATACTTAATAATGTAAAATAATTTTCATCAAAATTAATTATAGAGTTCCATTTCTTGTTGTCACCATAGGAAAAGTCATAGCCTGAGTCTCATCCTCTGCACGTAAATGTAGTTACCAAATACAATGCAAACAAGGCATGTTGTCGAAAATTAATGTCTTATGTGTTCGTGTTGCTATCAGGATCATCTCCCATCTTCTTATCCACGACTTTGGTGGCTATAAAGTATAAACACACCACGAAGAGTCAATTCTCATTTCATCTCCACACAGCCAAATTCATAAACCAAAACCCCCTTGTAGAGTACGAACCCTTCATATAATTATTTATTATACAAAATTTGTTCGATGCAGAAATTGGGTTACGGTAGCGACGGAGTATATAGGTCACTAAGGCCATCCTTGGTTCTCCCAAAGGACCCCAACGTTTCCCTCATCTCATTCCTCTTCCAAAGCGTTTCCTCTTTTCCCGCCAAAACCGCTCTCATCGATGCTCACACTTCCAAAACCCTAACTTTCGCGCAACTCAAATCCCAAGTCACGAGGCTCGCACACGGTTTCCTCAAACTAGGCATAGCCAAAAACGACGTCGTCCTCTTGCTCGCTCCCAACACCATCCACTTCCCGATATGCTTCCTCGCCGCCGCCGCGATCGGAGCCGTCGTCTCCACCGCCAATCCCCTCTACACCGTCCACGAACTCTCCAAGCAGGTCCAAGACTCCAACCCCAAGCTCCTCATCACCGTCCCCGAACTGTGGCACAAAGCCAAGGACCTCAACCTCTCCGCCGTGATTCTCGGCACCACTTTCGGTGCCGCATCGAGAGTCGTGAGTTACGACGCGATGATGGAGATGGCGGAGGCGCCGACGGAGCTGCCGGAGAGCGGCGTTCGGCAGGACGACGTGGCGGCGCTGCTGTACTCCTCCGGTACGACGGGGACGAGCAAGGGCGTGGTCCTGACGCACCGGAACTTCATCGCGGCGTCGGTGATGATCGGCATGGACGACGATTTGCTCGGCGGGGAGCGAAACGACGTGTTTCTGTGCGTTCTGCCGATGTTCCACGTGTTCGGGCTGGCGGTGGTGATGTACAGTTCGCTGCGACGAGGGAGTGCGGTGGTGGCGATGGCGAGGTTCGAGTTGGAGGCGTTTCTGAAGGCGATTGAGAGGCACAGGGTGACGAACCTCTGGCTCGTGCCTCCGATCCTGCTTGCTCTGGCGAAGCAGAGCGTGGTTCGGAAGTACGATCTTTCGTCGTTGAGGCGGATTGGTTCGGGTGCCGCTCCTCTTGGGAAGGAGTTGATGGAAGAGTGTGCCAGGCGTTTTCCACGTGTCGTCGTTATTCAGGTAATTCATGCCATTCACTCACCTAGTAAACTTCAAGATTAAAATAATTAACTCTTTAATCTAAATGCAAGTCCTGTTATCTTGCTAAATCAAACTTACTTTCGGAGTATATTAAAATAATATTTACTAATTAATTTAGTACAAGAGACTAATTCCACACAAAAAAATAAAATAAATTAAAGTTTGAATCTTTGTTAAAAAAATTGAAAATCTTTCAATATTTCGTCACGTTAATTTAAATTAATATATAAAATAATTTTATTATTATCTGTCACTCAATAGTAAAATAAGAATCAAATAATTTTTAATTTTTTTAAAAATTTGTAAATTTAATTTATATATTAAAAATTTTAAATTTAATAGTTAAATTGTTAAAATTTGATATAAAATATGAATTATTAATTTAAGTAAATTTACATTAAACGAATCCTTTTTATATATATATATATATATATAAAATGTAAATGTCAACTTTCTTATACACGGCATATCTGCATCGTGTACTTAGAAATTATAAAATTTTATGTTATTTATATACACGGCAATAAAATTCTATTTAAAACATCATAATTATCTATAATCATTTAAAGTATAAAATACTAGTTAACGGGATTTTAGATAAATTTTCACATTTCCAATTCTATGTTGAGAAATTGATTATTTTATTTTCAGAATTGATTCTATTTTTTTTTTCAAATAAAAAACTATAATAATGACAACATAGTTTGAAATAGGATTATGTGTATATTACTTCAATTATCATCAAACCGACGTTAGTAATTTGAATTGAATCTAAATTAAAGCAACTTTGTATAACTTTTATATTATAAAAAAAAAATATATTAAATTTTATTGCTATCTTGCTTTGGTAATAAAAATACCTGAATATTAATCAAAACATTTCAAAAACAATTTTTTTGAAACTCATTCAAACACATTCTTGATTTCCATTCTTAATTTCCATATGAATTTACGCTAAAAATGAAACAAACAATCCGTAGTTCGTTTAAAATTTTCAAAGAAGTGATGGTTGACTCTAATCTCATATAAAGTCGTATTTAATTCTAATTTAAATTTTTCTTTAAATAAATAAACACATTCTTAACAAATATCGGTATCACACCTTTAGCTCCTCAGGTGCATTTTTACTTTATTTCCTCAACAACTATTTTAGATACGTGAAGTTCACAAATCCTACCTAAGATTGATGCTGGCCGAATAAACTCTTGATAATCTGTGAAGTTATTTTTTTCTTTTAAAAAAATAATATTGATGTAGTATTTTTCTTGTTTTGTCAGGGCTATGGTATGACAGAAACTTGTGGCATTATTTCTGTGGAGAGTCCAAGAGCAGGAATTCGACATACTGGCTCAACGGGAACGCTCGCTTCGGGAGTCGAAGCTCAAATAGCGAGTGTGGATACACAGAAGCCGCTCCCTCCTAGACAGTTGGGGGAAATATGGGTACGAGGTCCTAGCATGATGCAAGGTAGAGTGCATGCCATGTTATGTAATGTAGCATTTATATATGTGTGCTTATGCAGAAATTTCCTATTTTTGGTCTAGTATCTACTATTTAGTCAGTGATTAAAAAAGGCTACCAGATAACCCTTTACAGTTTACTGGTAGTACAATGGTGTCACTTTTTATGCGTTGGATCTTAAACCATTAACCATGGTAAGTTGTTTGGCAGCTGAATTTCCTAGGCCAGACAAGTTAGGTTAAACAGACACTGGCATGACAAAATAAGACCATTAATACCATCATATTGTAATGTTCTTGTTACGCTTCTAGGAATATAGTAAGAAAGGGACTTGGGGTCATGGCCGTATCTAGGAATTTTGGGGGCTTAGGAAAAATTAAGACACTGACCTATGTTAATATAGCCTAATAATTTTTATGTTATTTTTCTGGCTTTTTTAGCTGTAAAATTATTTATTAAAATTTTATAATCAAGTAATTCTAACATCTCACTCTCAATAGATAATATAGTTAACTTATTCAATCTATCTTATAGCATAGTTGATCTTAAATATGATTTAATCAATTTTAATTTTGAAAAACTTCTTTCAGCAGTCATAATAGTTACAGGTAATGTTAATAATATTCTATAAGCAATGTATGTATTTGGAAAAGAACATGATCTTTTTATTTAGTTTAATATTTTTAATGCTGTGTTAATTTCATTTGTTAGAATTTCTTTCAATGACTTTAATTCTGAAAACAAATCAAGACTATTAATATCAGAATGGTCCTCAAAACTTCAAATATTTTCAAGATTGATACAATATTTTTTCAATTCATCTTCCCCTAAAGTTTTAAATTTATTTGAATCAAATAAAAAACTAAACATGTTTTCATATTCTAAAAATTGTTCAAATCGACCCTTAATAGAAGAAATAGATTGATGTAATATACAAAAAATAATCAATGCAAAAAGAATCTTCAGCAGAATGAGCTATCTCATTACTATCAATGTCATCAAAATATTTTTTCCTATGAATCTTATGTTTTTAATTGAACTTAGGCTCTATATCCATTTCAATAGTCATTTCTTTGGTAGATTCTAATGCAGATGCAAAATCATTTTCACTATAATTTCTTAAATAAGTTATAAGGCCTCTTAAGTGATCTATAGCAACATCTATATGCATATCTTTAAATTACATAATCTTACTTACAGAATTAACTGCAAAAAAGTATATATCCCAAATATTCATTCCTAATAAAAATTCAAAATTCTCCATCTCATAAGTTGTTAAACACATGACTTTACTCTTTATCTTAGGATCTTCACTAGTTTTCGATAATTGAACAAGTGCATCCCTTATTTTTTGTGCTTGAAACTTTATGGCTTTAACACTTTCAAGTAATTTTAATAATAAAAAATATAAGATATGTATCTTATAAAATATTGAGTCTTATCTCAAATATTATTAATTTTTAAAAATTAATTTATATCAATAATATTACTAATAAAAGAATTTGGAAGCCTTATAAGTTTGGGAGTTCTAGGCATTAGCCTTAATTGCCTTATTGAATGTCCGGCCTGCTTGAGGTTATTGGAAGATAGAGCATAAACTGCTTGATATCCCCTCTATAAACTTTCCAGTCAAGACTCGAGTATATCTATAACTCCTCTGCCAATGCAAACTCCTCCTCCTAGAGTTAATAATAACTTAATAAGAGTGGATCGTCTCCATACACTCTTCACGTTCCTTCTTCACGCTTTTAAATAAATTTGTAATCATATTTCATTTTACCAATAATTTGTAAAGGGTATTTATAAACTATGGTGCTTCACTCTTGAAGTTCTTTACTTGTCTGACTCTCTGGTTGGAAATTGTAATTCAAATTACTCGTCTCATTTGTTTCCTGTTGGGATGTGGGGGATCAACATGATTTTACTCTTTATTTATTCTATAGGGAGTTTGACATAATTTGTTCTGTAGGCTTTTCATTTATAAAACTCATTGCTACTGTTAAAATTTTTTTCAGGTTATCATAACAATCCACAGGCCACAAAATTGACCATAGATGAAAAGGGATGGGTACATACAGGAGATCTTGGATATTTTGATGAAAATGGGCAACTTTATGTGGTTGACCGTATCAAAGAATTGATTAAGTACAAAGGTTTCCAGGTACATAGTGCAAAAACCATGTCAATAATGAAAGTGAAAGTTTTCTGCTATGCAGTACAACGAATGATTATATATCTGAAATCTTAACCAAATCATTGTCAGGCTTACCTGATTATCTTAAAGATAATGGGGTGTTGAAGTGCATTAAACAAATATTCCATGTCCCAAATTGTAGTATTTCAGTCCATAATAATGCATGTGCTGCTCTGTTTTTCTTTTTTGGGTGTAATTTCTGATAATTTGTTTATATTATAATCCTTCTGGTTATCGGGGACAATAAATATTTAAGATCAAGAGTTTAATCTTACTGAATTAAGAGTCGTTTGCCTCCTTGTATCTAGATTGCACCAGCAGAACTTGAAGGGCTTCTTGTTTCTCACCCTGAAATACTGGAGGCTGTTGTTGTCCCGTAAGTATCACAAATGATCTGTAGTTTAAATTTATACATTTGATGTTATTTATTATTAGGATTTCACAGTTGAGTTACTTCCTTTCGATAGATATCCGGATGATGAGGCTGGTGAGGTTCCAATTGCCTATGTTGTTCGTTCACCCAATAGCTCGTTGACTGAGGAAGAGATTCAGAAGTTTATTGCTAATCAGGTAAGAGAAACATAAAGAACAAGCTTAATTTTTTTACTTTCACTCATAGCATAAATAGACTTGAATCTGTCTTATTTAGCTATATTGGATTTTCACAACTTTTTTTATGACTTCGAAACTTCACGCGGATTCCAAGAGTATCGATATAGATAAATATTTTCATAATTTAAAAGACTTCTGGTGAAGTATTCAAGAGTATCAAATAATAATACAGATACGGTTGAAGCAAATTGAATCGCAACTCATTTTTATACTTGCTTACAGGTTGCACCTTTCAAAAGATTGCGAAGGGTGACGTTCATCAGCAGTGTTCCTAAGACAGGTTCGGGTAAAATCCTCAGAAGAGAGCTTACGGCAAAAGCACGATCCAAAATATAATATATTACAATTTTCTTTTGGAGGGTCAATTTCAGAGAGTGAAAATTCGGAGTGCATTCTGCAGGATTAATATATAAATATACGCAATCAAGTTTAAAATTAAAACCGTGCAACAATCCCTCCACAGTGCAAATTATAGCAGCCTTCCTTTGCACCAGAGTGTCGTGAACTTGCCACTATACCCAAGTAAACTCTGATTTATTTACTTCAGTTAACAAAAGGAAAGAAATAATGTAAGAAACTGAATATGGTGTTTGTGGACTAAAACTAACTCTGTAAAGTAAGAAAATGTGTAAAACAAGAAAGAAAACCATACAGTTCCATCTTTTATAATGATGTTGTCTTGTGAGGAAAGATCAAGTTATTCATTTTAAGAGAAACGTTAATTCTTTGTTTGATTTAGGAAGGGAAGATAAACAAAAGAAAGTGAAAAAAAAAAAGAGAGAAAACAAAATGAGTATAAACTATAAAAAAATGTATTTTTTAGGTTGTTTGTATAAAAAGTAGAAGGAAAGAAGAGGAATATATATATATATATATA